TGAAGTTGGACGCTTAACCAACTGCGCCACCCAGGCGCCCCAATGCCACACTGTTCTAATGAGAGAGAGGGAGGCCTTAATTTTTATTTCATTTAAAGTTAAATATTTGTTTTAATGTTTCATTCATAGTGCCAGGGAATTCAATGAAACCATACCTGGGGTGTGAATCGAATTCAGTACGTTAACTATGCCCTGCCAGTGGAGGCAACCACACACCTGGTTGGGAAGCCCTAGTTGTTGATTAGTGTCCCTTAGATGTCATTAAGGCCTTTGGGTGGGGAGAGGCCTGGAGCAGTGATCCTTCAGATCACTGTAGACAGAGAAATGGCTGTTCTTTTATGCTTTCAATCCTGCATATTCACAACGAGCCGCCAGATTTCTTCACCACATCCCATCGGACCAAGATTTTATGGTAATATATTGCAGTAGGCTTTACTCTTACCAATTTATATCTATGTAGATTTTAAACGAGAACAGCTTCCAGAGACCCTCCCCCATGTTGGAGGATTACGTATATTTCTAATAAGTATTAGTGAGAAGCCGTTTCTCCTGCCAAAAAAGATGCTGAAGGATTCACGTTGGGTGCACTTGAACAACTTGGACTCCAGGTGGTTAATCGTTTATCCCCTTTCTCTGGACTTGGTTTTTTTTTTTTTTTTTTAAGCTCATCTTGACACAGATGAGTCTGTCCAGATCTTTAAAGTTGCTAGTGTGCCCTGAGAAAATGGGGGCACGTTGTCGAATGTTGATTCCAAAATGTCCCGAGATAGGGATAGGGCAGTGGGAAAGTCAGGGAAGGGTGAGAAGCACAGTAGAGATTATTTATTTAAGAAAAGAAAAGAACGTTCATGTTGTAGCAAGGATCCGGTGCGTTGTCATAATCCCATGAAGATTCTCGGATGACACAATCCCCCCCAAATCAGTCACCATGCTGGGTAATGACTTCGTTCTTGCTGATCTCGTCTATGTGTCATTGTAAATATTTGTGTGTCCATGTTCCGTTTTGGCTACTGGATGGCCAAGTCACGTAAGAAGATTTAACTCAAGTATTTATTCTTTAATTGTGTTACTCAGATTTCTTCAGGCTTGTGGATTGCACCCCGATGTTGAGTTTAACCACCTGATCCCCACATCTATCCCTCCCCCGTGAAGCACATTCCATTGCTAAAAAAACAAATATGAAATTGCTTCCTGTCGTCTGTATAACTGTTTTGATAGTTTGAGATGTTTGTCTATAAAGGATATTTCTCAGCTCAAAGATCGTGTAAATAACTATATTCCTTTGCGCAGTGGGTTGTTTATTTCTAATGAGGCTGCCAGTTCTCAGAGAGAAATCTATAAAATCACTTTTAAATAGCGTAAACAGGGATTACAACTATGTAAAAAGTAAGTTGTGCATAATGGGCAAAGACTGGGAACACAGACCATTGAATCAGTTGTGTTAGGGTGGTGGGATTATGCAAAACATTTTTTTCTTTCAAAATTTTCTTTGATATTGTTCTAATATTGCTTTATAATAAACATCAGAAAGGGAACTATAGAGACATAGAAAAGATGCCAGGAGCAGATGCCTTCTGGCCAGAGCCCAGAGCATGCAGGGCACACATATTTGCTAGTTACAGTTATTCCATAGGCTTTATATTTGCCTGGGTGCGGAGGTTGGCACACGCTCGGGTATGGCACGTGCTTTCTTAGGGGACTATTATCTGTAAGTTGAAGCTAGGGAGATGTCGCTCTTAGAACTCCAAACACACCCATCCTTCTGCTTTAAAAGTGGCTGCCCTCCACTTGGATATGGCATGGAGGCTTCTGTTGTGGCTACTTGAAATTGGAGGGGTGACATGTGATTAGCCCCCTTGAAAGCATCTGGGTCAGGGGTCACCTTTCTGGATCGACTTTTAGCAGATTTTCAAGCTGAATGTGGAAGAACAGAAGGATCAATCCCCCAGCTCCCACCCTGTCCTTGTCTGACTGGATGTTATATCACTTGGGTAGGGATTCTTCTTTTTGTGACCAGTGGACCAGTCCCTTTGATTTCAATGGAAGTTATGACTTGTGCCTAAAAGCCGACAATGAAAACATGAAGACAAATGTTTAGAACTGCCGTTGCCTGTTGGCCTTCAGTTCCAGTCCTGTTAGCTTTAGCTTGAGATGGCTTCCATGTGCTTTCTGTCCTGCCTGTTTATAGGCTGTATGCAGTAACTACTGTCGTTTTTCAGGAGCGAAAGGGAGACTCTCTACCCAAAGAGAGGAATTTTCCTCTGAACTCACCGAAGAAATCTTAGGTGAGGAGTTTTATAATGGGGTAGTGGTCTCAGATGTTATTCAGTTTCACCAAGAGCAGACCTTATACCTAGAGAACCCACTTTCCATTGGCCATTCTCAACATAAAAAGTACTTACGGGCGTCCTAACCCTGCCATCCCCAGTTGGATC